AAGAAAGAAAGAAAGAAAGAAAGAAAGAAAGAAAGAAAGAAAGAAAGGTTGACCCAGAAGGCAAGCTGATCGCTGGGACTTCTGGCAATCGCGCGAAAGGCAGGCGGAGAACCTACTTTGGAAGATGTCTTTCAAAACTTTGAACGATGCTCTTCAAAACTATGAACACACGGAGGTTGGCTTACAAGCTAGCGGCCAAGGGCTAAGGCCTCCCTGTCACTCACAAGGAACAACAGACACCAAGGAAACAACTCTTAGGAGAAACGAATACACATTCTCCCAAGGAAACTCCACTGGCACAACACTGACCCAGACACCCTGAGGCAGGCCCTCTGCAGCAGCAAAACGTGCTCCAGGAGAACACAGAAGAAAGCAGTCCTGTGGATCACAGAACCAAGCGTCTTCTACACTTGCCCAAAGAAGACCTCTGGACTAGTGCTCCCAAGCTCAGGTCTGTCAAGGGATGTCACCGAGCTAAAGAACTTTGGTGGGGCCTCTGGTGCTCCTCTAGACTTCTGGGCACACGAAAATGATTCTGGCCAGCCTGTTTTCCCTCTGACTAACGGATTAGAGGCCACGGTGGGTTTGGGCCCAGGTTATGCTTCAACATGGTGGTGGGCTTGTGCGCCTGACTAAATTCTGCCTGGTTTCCTTGGAAGCATGATGATTCCCAATTGCGCCCCCTGCCCAGCCCCCACGTTCTGTCCTCTCTCAGTGCCCACTGCAAAGTCACGTAGCAGGATGGCATGTATGCAGCCAGACCTAGGGTTTCCAGCATCCCCAAAGATACCCCAAGGCCCTACACTCACAGAGCTCCATGGGTTGCCATGAAATGCTAATCTGACTCGCCTGCTCTGATAGGAACAGGGAACTCTAACCCGCATGGCACGAAATAAGGAGGAATCAGTACTGTGGGGGCTGACCATTGGGCTGCAGATGAGGATGGGAGAATAAAGTGTGCCCGCGACAACAGTCTCAGTGTTGGCTTTCAGGATTGCTACGGGCCCTGTTTAAGTTTATGTAAAGAAGGCAGGCGTCCCACACCTGGGCTGGGAGACCTGTCCTTCTCCTCCACACTAGGAAAGGGGTGGGTATCTAACGGGAAAGCGTGGCCCCAGGCCACTCACGGCTACCTCGAAGCTCCTGAACCCACACGCAAATGGCTCCCAGAGCCTCCATTGTCAATTTTTCGCTATGTGGAAGTCTGTGTGTTTGGGGGCAGGCTGGCAAAAGGGGGGGCAGTGGGCGAGGTTGAAATATCCTTCCTAGTCTTCTCAAGGGTTGCTCTCTAAAGAGCAGGTCCTGAGACAGGTTAGGAGCCTCTGGAGACAGGCAGTCAAAATCAGGATGTCCAGGCCAGAGGGGTAAGTGGGTTCTGGGGCTGAGAAGCCCCCACCCCCATTCTCTGAGCCCTCTGCAGGAAACAAAGGCCAAGGAGGGGGAGGAGCAAAAAAGAAGAGAGGGGGTGGAATGGACCCTTCGCAGTGGCCTTCCACCAGCCTTGCCTCAGCCAGGTCCTGAGAAGACCCAAGCAAGGTCCAGGCCCAGGTCCGGGCTCTTGCTGCAGCCAGGAGAGTAAATGATATTTTAGGGGCCACAGTTGCTATAGAAAGCCTCCCATCCAGCCCCCCCTCCAGCCCCCATCACTGCGCCCCCTCTACTCAGCTCCCTTTTATTTCAGTGCTGGACCCCAAGGTCCCCGCTCCTCAGTCACCCTTCCTCTCCTCTCACCTCCCTTTCATCGTCACTGTCTCTCTCTACGCACTCCTTTTCCCTCTCCCGTGTTCCCGCGGCCTATTTCACCCTCCTCTCCCCCGCCTGCACTTTTGCAGTTTCGCGTTCTCGGGGGCCCTAATCCTCAGCTTCGCACCATCATGCGTGCAGCGCTATCCCCGGTCTCCAGCAACTGCCCAAGCTAACGTTTCCAAGGGGGTCTCGTACCACCCCGATCCCGGGACACAGAAGACTCACCAAGCCCAAAGTCGCCAAAAGAAGGCACAGGAAGAAAGCAGGGCCCTGCGCAATGCCCACTCCTTCCCGCACCCACACTCACTGTCAGGACTCAGGCCACCTCCGTAGCCGCCATGCGCCCGTGGGTACCACCGCGTCGCGCCTCCGCAGCCAAGCGCGAAGGGCGGCCCAGGCCCGGGAGGCGGCCGGGGACCTAGGCCCAGCGCCCGGGCCCTCGCCTCCCCACCCGGGCCGCTGCCCGCGCGCAGCTGTCGCCGCCGCTGCAGCCGCCGCCGCAGCGTCTGCGGGTCCTCGTCCTCGGGGTCCTCGTCGTCGTCCTCCTCCTCTTCGCGGGCGCCATCGTCCTGGGCTGCACGCCCCGCGCCCTTGGCCTCAGCTGCCAGCAGGTTCTCGATGAGGAAGGAGGAGGCGCGGGCCGGCGTGGCGCGCCCGGGCTCGGTCAGCTCATCCGGCATCGCGGCCGCGGGCCCGTCGGGCAACGCTGGGATCCTGGGGGGGGGTCCCTGGTGCCCGGGGCGCAGCCGCCTCCCGGGCCCCGCTGGGATTGTGGCGCCCGGCTGCCCAGCGCACGCGCGGGCTGACCCTGCCGAGCCCCTGCCCAGAGCGCGGGCGTCGGGCTCCGCGGGGCGGGCGTCGGCTCCTGCTCCGCGCTCGGCCGGGCGGGAGCGGGTGCGCGCCGAGAGCCGTCCCCGCAGCAGCCTCGCCGGCCTTTCTCGGAGCCGCTCGGGTCGCCGCCCCGGCTGGCCTCCCGGGGGGCGGGGCGGGGGCGGGCCCGGGGGCGGGGCGGCGCGGGGGACCTGAGCTCGGCCCCGAGGACCCGCCGCGGCCCTGGGAGAGGCCCCCCGCGGGAGCCGCCGCCCGGCCCGGCTCCGGAGCGCAGGCAAGCGGAGCAGCACAGGGCAGGCGGCCCCGCGTGATGCATTCCGGAGGGCTCCCCCCCTCCCGCACCGCGCCGGGAGGGGAAGGAGGCGGGGCCTCGGCTTGGAGGCCGATCATTGGCCAGCGGGTCTCCGCGAGGCCCGGGCTGGCCAATCGCGTCGGAGGAGAGCCGTTCCCACCCGCCGAGAGCGCGTCGGAAGCCCTCTGAAGGCGCGGTTCGTGCGTGAGTCTGTGTGATTGTGTGTCTGCGCGTGTGTCACAGCCACGGCCGGCCGGGCCACGCTCTTTCCTTTTCAAAGACCTCCCCGCGTGTAAATTACGAATTTGGCCAGAGCCAAATTGCAGACGTGTGGCGCGTTCTAACACTCGGGACCTAAGGAAATGAGCTTTGGGCGCCGTCCGTCCTCCGGCTTGCGACGGGGATGCTCTGGTTTCCCCTGCTCACTCCCGGGCTGTGAAGAGCCCCGAGCCCGGAGGGGCGGGCCCCCGACCCTGCTGTCACCCTTGGGTCCGCGCGCGCGAGGCACCTCGGCCGCCCGGCTCCCTTCCTTCTGGGCCGGTGAGCGCCGCAGGCCCAGCCGCTGCGCGGGATGGGAGGCCTCGGGGAGGGAGGGGACTCCTCTCCCGCCACCGTTTCTCGCCCCGCACGGGGCGGGTTGGACTCTCCCACGTCGGGAGCAGGCCCCGGAGGGTAACCCACGCTTCGCCGAGGCCCGCGGAGCTCTGACCCACTTCCGACCAGAGCGCCGGGCAGCTGGGGCCCCTCCGTGCGCGCTTCACTGGACGCGGGTTATCGCGGAAAGGCGCGTCCAGCTGCCCGGTGCGAGTCCACGCCGCCGTCCGACAGCGTGCGCCCCACTTTCCGGGAAGGGGGTGCAGGCCGCGAGCTCCCGCCTGCGTCGCTTACTCCTCCCAGCGAGCGCCCAGGGACAATCACCCTACCCTTCAGAGGGGAAAACTAACGTGCAAAGAGAGCCCTTTCTCCTCCCACCGTAAGTGGCTTTCCGGAGCTTGGAGCTCGGAGGCCAGGGCTCGCCCTGAACAGGAGGAAGGATGGGCATCGGGGCTGTGGACCCTTCGGGGCTCGCACCCTGCTGCGGCCTCCCATGCCCAAGGCCTGGTGCGAATGGCCGGAAACCTGGCAGGGAGGTGGGCTTTGTGCACACTAGGACTCGATTTCGGCCCCATATTCTGCCAGGCAAGAAGAATCAGTGGCAAACAGCCGCACCTCATAGAGGAGGGCTCTGAGCCAAACGAAGTTAGAAATCTCAGGGAAGAGCCTCAGTTCCCCAAGTGCTACTACTTCTTGGTATCCGGGGCTCAGAAAGACTGGGTGATGTGGGTAAAGGGAAAGAGGAAGAAATTAGCATCCGAATTCGTTTGTAGGAATCAGGCAGAAACCTTAGGCCGACCAACTTTTGTGTTTTGTTTTGTGTTTTGTTTTGTTTTGTGGGATGAAAAAACTGGGGCCTGAGGGGAGCCCTACTAAAAATGGCGATGGGGAGAATCATCCAATTTCTGCAAGTTCCGGGCTTGTACTCCTCCCTGTAAAACCGCAAGCCCGTTGAGTTGGCTTCCCTTTCTCTGCGCACTGTCTGGGTGGGGGAGGCAGGCCAGGCCTCTTCGGAGTCTGGGTTGTAATTCCCTCTGCTTTAGGGCTGCGTGGCCCTTGCCCTGGCCTCTTGCTGGTACGTGCTGGGTAAGTGTTGCTGCAGCTGGATGACCATTGAGTGGAGCCCTACCTGGTTTGGTGCCCTCACCATACCCATCACTCCGCTGCTGATTTACCACTCCCTCTCAGGGAAGGCATGAGAGCAGTGCCTCAACACTAGACCCGGGGGCGGAGGGGCTGTGTTCAAGAGTGGGGAGAGGTCAGCTACCTCTCCTGCCATGGGCTTGGGAGGCACTAGTTGGCACTTGGACCTGCCGACAGCAAGTGGGCTGGTGGCTGCCACCAGGGACAGGGTATGTAAGTGTCAGGAACGCCCAAGCTGGCCCAGTGGGTGCTCACCCAGTTTCTGGGGCCCAGAAGCCCAGCCTCCATGGAGGAGAGTGGAAAGGCACTGCTTGAATCACTGCCTCAGAGGGTCAGCTCTGATGCCGCCCAGCATGTAGGCCAGAAGGGCTAGTTTGTCTCAATTCAAGGCCAGTTTGACTGAGGGACTAAGGCTGCCAAGGACTATCCTGAGCAACTTGGGTGCTGCCTTGGGTGGATTTCTTTTATTTTCTCAGCAGAGTTCTAGGGCTAGAATACTGTACCCTCCCCGAGCCCACTGTCCACCCCCCACCCCACAGCAGCTGCCCAGGCTGTGGCTTCTCTACTTTGTCCTGGTGCCTTTTAGCCATCTCACCTCTCATGTGCGCTGGGATCTGTCAGGAAACCTGGCAACCCCGAGCCGAGTTTGCCTGGCCCAGAAGCTGCTCATCGCAGGAGACCCCTAAATCTGAGTCCTTAGATCTGTGGGAGCTACCACAGCCAGCTGCAGGGCCACTGCCAGTTTCCCTCCAACAAACCTGTTCATTTGGAAAAAGTTTTCAAGATGCCCATCTTAAATTTAAAATTTTACCGTAGCTTTGCTTCCTTCGTCCCTCACCCAACCTTATTTCTTCCCATACCTTCCTCTACACAATCCAGGTGCCTGCCTGTTCTTGGGCTTTGATTGACAAGAACAAACAACCCAATATTCCACATACCCTACTGCAGCTTCCCTATGTATTCCATCATCCCTATGTGTCTACGTGTGTGTGGGGGGGGGGGGTTAAATCCAGGACCCACCTCAGATGTCAAAATCTTCAGGTGTCCAATTAGCTCAGGCTGGCCTTGAGTGCCTGATAATGCTCCCCTCCCCCTCCCCGGTGCCAGCATTTCAAGGTTGCACCATCACATCTGGTTACTTCTTAAAGAAAAATGCAGTAGCGCTTGCATCCACGTCCTCCAGTGTCCTTCACATGTCTCTAGATGGCCGATAGACCCAGTTAGACGTGGGTACTGTCGAACTGCCGTTCTGCAGCATTTAGGGGTCATGACAAAAGGGCCTGTGCCTGACGCAGGATAGATGCAAGTTTTCCTTTGAACTTTCATTTCTGTGATACTAGTAATAAAATCCACTTGAAAATATTTTTGGCCTTTGGTTGGTTGAATCTGAGAGTGGAGAATCTGTACATGAAGAGGCCGACTGATACAGGTCCACGTACTCAAGCTGGTGTTTTGATTTGTTTTCCAGTCCATTTTTCAGGATGTTGTGTATGCCTGGCACACCTCTGTCACCGAGCCACACACCCAGTCATTTTATTTTAATTTTCTAGGGGGCTCAGGGTCCTAGGGTGCTAGGGAGTCATACACAGAGCCTAAGGAGCTGTACCCTGTCCTGCTATTTCATTTTTACCCACTATGTACTGACTCGCTGTTCCCATGCCAAAATTCAGTTACTGTGGCCAAGTGGCATGTTTCCCAAGTCTGAGCCAAAGAACACACACACACATTCACCAGAGCACTGGGCCTCTGTGGTTCGTGTGTGGTTTGTCTTTAATCCATGAGGTCTGGACGGCTGTTGGACAACCAAATGCAAGTGAGAGGGGCAGGTAGCCCCCATCCAGGCAGACGCATTTTTTTCTCAATATCTGGGAAATCAGAGGAATCCCTGCAGGGTTCTTTACTGAGGATCTTAACGTGCCAGGCAGAATCTAGCCTGGGATCCTTTGCTCTGCAGAGGGGAGCAGTCATGGGTTCCAAGAAAGTTCAAGGGTTGGGGATCAGAGCCACCATTTTGCAGTTGGAGAGGCACTCTTGTTGGACAATAAGTTGGGAGATGCTGAGGTCAGAAAAAGGCAGCTGTGTTCTTCCGAGGCCTCATCTCTTCCCAGCACAGGGTTCATCTCACTTTTCTGCTTGTTTGGGATTAAGAGTTCTCTGCCCACTGACCAAGTGAAAGAGAAAAGAGACCCGAGGTTTAGAGTTACTGAGCTAGAGTCAGGTCCTGCAAAGAGTGACCCACAGGTCCCTTGCAGGGCCGGATAAACAATATGGCTCTCAATTTGAAAGGCAGTGGGGAGCTATTGAGGGCTGTTAAACTGGAAATATAAAGCTATTAAAACTAAAGACTGCTGGGTGTGGTGGCCCACACCTTTGATCCAAGCACTTGGAAAGCAGAGGTAGGTGGATCTCTGAGTTGGAGGCCAGCCTGGTGAGTTCCAGGATAGCCAGGGCTACACAGAGAAAGGCCATCTGTAATAGCAAAACAAACAAACAAACAAACAACCTGGAAGAGTAATCTGAAAGCCAAAGTAACCAAAGAAGAAGCTGCCCACTGTCCCTGGGACTTTCAGTGAAGGGCTAGGACCCTTCCTGGGCTGCTGGCACTCCCCAGGTCAGCAGTCAGTCTCTGCGATCTTGCCATCTTGCCGACAGCCTCTCCCACATGACAGCCAGCAGAAAACAGCTTCACTCTAAGACCTGTTTTCTAAGAACCAGACTCCTTTGTTCTGGGTCTCCTCTAGTCGCCTCAGCATCTTCAACTGCAAAGGGGAATTAAGGCGCCCGCCATCCACGGAGTAGGATCGTAAGTAGTCCACGAGG